GCTGGTTATTTTTTTTTCTTCGTTCGTTCGTTCGTTCACGGACAACTTTTTGGTCCGGTCCTCTGATGTTGAGGCTTTCTCGGTGTGGGGCGGCCCACGCTCCCGCGTGAATGTGTGGCTGCTCTCGGTAAATAAGCGCTCTTCCTGTCTGTACGCTAGCCTCGGCCAAGCGTTTCCGTCCCTGCGGGAGACAAGAGGCTGGGTGGCCCAGGAATGGGTCCCTCGCCCGCATCACGGCCGCGTGAGCCTCGCCTGCTGCCCCCCGGCGTGTGCGGCAGCAGGAGGCAGAGCTGGAAACTCGAGGCCCCAAGCGCGCGGGTGCGGGACGTGGGCCCGCGTGTAGCGTCTTGGCCGCTGCTACAGCCGCCTGGCCCTGGGCGGGCGATTCTCCCGCGTGTCCCCTGTCCGTGTGGTCACGCTGAAGTAAAACCAGCCGCCAGGAGGCAGGAGGAAAACTAACTCAGGTTGCCACTGCCCGCTCTTACATCTCCATAGGGCGAGGCTGCGGGGAGAACTGTGGCGAGCCAGCCCCCACCGGCGCCTGCAGGACACTGGCCCGGTTCCTCCGGGCTCCCGCCCCCAGGCCGCTGGTCCCTGCCGCCGACTTCCCACACCGCTTAAGTCCCTGGCCCTGCTGCCCCGGAAGCAGCAGGTGGCGGCTCGGGTAGCTGCGATGCGGGCAAGGGACCTGTTAATGGCCTCTGGGTCTTCCCGAAGCCGGCACGCAGCCGCTGAAGTCAGAGTTGCTTCCCTTGTGATGGAAGGTGGACTGCCCGCCCCTGTCCACGACTCACGGCCACCAGCACCCCCGCGCCTGCCTTGGCCCGAGAGCTTGGGACCCTACTCTGCTGGTGGATTTGGGTGAAGCTGCTCCCCCTGGGGACTGCTCTCTGGATTCCTCGCTTTCTGGGTAAAGACAGAAACAGCTGAGTCACAGTGAGGAAGTGACCACCACGGGACAGGGGGCATGGGCAGTTCACTGGCCATGTGATGCGAGGGTGGCCCGGGAGCTTCAGACAGACTTCCCGTCAGCGACCGGCTCACGAACCCGACCCCAGCTCCTGAGGCAGCTTCACCTGCACACGCCTGTGTGCACACTGTCCCTTCACTGGCATCAGCCACGCACACGCACCCCACACGCGCCTGGGATTCCAACAGGACTGCTTCCTGGACTCGGGCAGTGGGACACCTCGGACAGGAAACGCCCTCCAGTGACGGGGTCACAGGTGGGGCCCTGGGCGGGCAGAGCCCACAGAGAGGCAGCCAGCCACGCTCTGGCTTCTGGCTTGCCAGGGTTCTCCTGCCTATGGGCTCCCGGACTGCTGTCCCCTGGCTCCCACTCTTGGACCATTAACTTCCAAAGCTGCAAGCCAGAATAAGCCTTTCCTTTCTAGCTACCTTGTTTCTGGTATTTGCTAGAGTGACAAAATGTTGATACACCCCCCACACAATAGAGTACTTCAAAACGTGTGTGGAACAATGGAATTAAAGGAGGTGCATTTTTCGTGAACTTTTTGATGACCCTGCTTACACTGATAGCCCCCCCACATTCCAAACATACACCCACATTCACACACCCACACACATACACCTTGCACACATACACTCCACACACATGCGTACCACACACTAGCACCCTGCACACACCCATATACATACGTAACCCCCACCACACATACATACGTGCCACACATAAGAAATACGCATTCACACCCCCATAACAGACAGAAGCCCCACCATCAGACACACACACACACATACACACTCATACCCTATCTTTGACCCTTAGTATCTCCCACACAGACTGATAACATCTCTCCCCGGTATTGAAGATGGCCTTGTAGAAGGGAGGAAGCAGAAACTAAGTGTAATCTTTTTTTTAAGATTTATTTATTTGAAAGAGTTACACAGAGAGAGAAGGAGAGGCAGAGAAAGAAGTCTTCCATCCCTATCTGCTGGTTCACTCCCCTTCTGGCCACAACAGCCAGAGCTACACCGATACAAAGCCAGGAGGTTCTTCCAGGTCTCCCATGCAGGTACAAGGACCCAAGGACTTGGGTCATCCTCCACTGCTTTCCCAGGCCATAGTAGAGAGCTGGGTTGGAAATGGAGCAGCCAGGACATAAACCAGCGCCCATATGGGATGCCGGCACTGCAGGAGATGGCCCTACCTGCTATGCCACAGCGCTGGCCCCTAAGTGTAACCTTGTTAGGTGGCAGTCGTCCCAAGGAGCGGGAGAGTCCCCATTTCGGCCATGACAGTTTGTGCCAGAAGTTGGGGGCTTCAGCATGGAACAGTCCTGCTGCCCCCGCTGTGCAGAAAGGGAATGTGGGATGTTGGCAGCCAAACAGGCAAAAACATTTTCAAAACACTTTAGGCAAAGTAAAATTCTGATGTCAAAAGAAGTCGGGTCTTCATCCACTGTATCACTGTCCTCGCCATGGGTCTTAAAAAATTCCTCTGCCATTTACCATTTGAAGAAGGAGAATTCTTGATGGTATCAGAGAACCTGAAAACAAATCCCATGCCACACCAATAGCCAGAAAGGTTTGATTCTGGTGATTCCAACAGGCACCCTGCGGCACAGTCCCCCTGGGTGGTGCCAGGTCTGTGGACGCCACCAGGTCACAAATGCAGTGGGGCCCATCATGGCTGTGTCTGTACTGAGCAATAGAGACTCCTCTTGTCGTCCTCTAGACAATACAGTTCAGACCTGTTTACTCAGTTTATGATGTCTTCGATATTATAAGTAGCATAGAGACGATTTAATGCATACAGCATTGTGGCCGAGCAGGTTAAGCCGCTGCCTGCAACACTGGCATCCCATATGGGCACCGATTCACGTCCCAGCTGTTCCACTTCTAATTCAGCTCCCTGCTAATAGCATGGGAAAAGAAGCAAAAGATAGCCCACGTGGTTGGAACCCTGCCACCCTCATGGGAGACCTGCAAGAAGCTCCTGGCTTCAACCTGGCCCAATCCCAGCTGTTGCGGCCATCTGGGGAGTAAACCAGCAGATTAAAAATCTCTCTCTGTAACTCTTTCAAATAATAAATAAATCTTTAAAGAAAAAGTATACAGGAGGGTGTGCACCAGTTATACATAAACACTGCACCGTTTTATATAAGGGACTTGAGCCCCCGAAGGATGCTGGCATGGTGGGAGAGGTCCTGGATACTAAAGGATAGCTGAATTAATTCTGGATCCCCTGCTGTACAGTGACAGTCTTCTAGTTCAGGTCATCTGAACCCCACAACAGTGAAGTAAGAGTAGCTCCAGCCCTCCAGCGCCTCCTCTCACACTTGTTCAGAGGCACCGAGGCTGAGCTGGGGGAGCGCACACATCTAAATGATCCTCTGACTTTCAGTTGCTGCTGTCCGATAAAATCCCTTAACTTGGCCATTTCTGTTTTTCTTAATAGTTGTGCAAATGACGTGCAGCTGATAGATTAAACAGCAGCAGCACTGCTTTTGTTCAAGGACCTCCCTAGGAATGCCACACATCTCCAAGGTCACTAGAAAGGTGATCACTGGGGCAGGGATTCCATGTTGTGTTTTTTTTTCTTGTGTCCCCACCTGGATTGCAAGTTCTTCAAGGGCAGAGGTGAGCATTGAATAAAATAAATGGTTGGCAGCAAGCAATTTTTTCTTTATCTGTTTCTTTGAAAAGCAGAGATCTTCCATCTGCTTGTGCACTCCCTAGATGGCCACAACAACTGGGGCTGGGCCAGGCCAAAGCCAGGAGCCACAGTCTTTATCCGGGTCTCCCACATGGGTGGCAGTGCCCAGTCACTTGGGCCATCACCTGCTGCTTTCCCAGGTGAATTAGTGGAGAGCTGGGTCAGAGTGGTACAGCCAGTACTCAGATCAGTGCTCTACTCTGTGTTACGGGCAGCAGCTTAGCCGTAATGCACCACAACACTGACCCCAGCAAGTCCCTTTTTTAGAAGTATTTACTGTAGGTAGACGTCTTGCCTCTGAGTGGAGTTTTTGTTTTTTATAAAATTAAATATTCATATGTTACCCTACAGAAGTACCTGGTGGTTTCTGTAACTTCTCCATGACCTTGTTATAGAAAATCCCCAAAAGTGTTCAGAGGAATCACTGTAGCACCCCCAAAACTTGGTCCTCTCACCCAACACGGAGCAGGTCAATTACCGACACTGGAATGGTGGAAGAAGGCTCACAGAGCAAGGAGTCAGAGTGCTGTCGCCCAAGTCCTGAACTCCCTGACGGATCAGGGCAGTGCGTCTTAGAACGCAGAAGGCTGAGCCTGTGGATCAGCTCCTGTGGGGACGGCCTCCCTTGGCTTGATCAGTGCTGACAGGCCCCCAGCCTGTTTCTTTTGTAATGGCAGACAGGCTCCATCTGTCTGGGGTCTATGGCGAGATGGGGTATCATTTAATCTGGGCCTTCTGGTTGCTGTGAAGCTCACACAACAAAAGCTAGCATGGCGATATTAACTGTAGGGGTGACTTCAGCCTGTGATGTAGGGGCTCAGCTCGGCTTGGGTTGAGCTTGTGCCACTCCCAGGATTTCGTGATGGAATCTTGGCAGAGGCACTGTGAGCTCTGAGAGACACTGGGCCTGACAAAATGCACATCAGAGGCACTCGGGCACGGACTTGGCTTCACATGCGTTCCCAACACGTATTTCCTAAATTAGGGATTGAACTCCCAGAATCACAACTCCCTCCTGTTTTGCTGTCTCTCTCCTCTTACTGGGATGGAGAATCCAACTCGAGGCTCGGCCTCTTGGATTGGAACAGCTGAGGATGTCCAACACAGTGCCCCATTTCATTCACCAGTCTCCAAGCCCGCACCTGTCGGTGAACAGCAGTCACTAGGCAGCACAGCATGACCCGGAACCATTAGCTGTTAGCCGTAGCCTGCCATCTCTCCCACTGCTGTGTGACAGAGTATAACCTGAAGGCCATCGGCTTTCAGTGCCCCAGCAGGAAGCAGCATGCAGGCGTGCAAACAGCAAACCAGGACTCTGTCCTAGTGGCTAATTTCAGACACACTTTATTCAGTCATGGTTTCTTTTCACTAGGCACAGGGGAAAACAAAATTGTGAGGGCTGTTTTTAGCCTGTTTAGCAGGTGATACCTGAGAAGGCAGTCAGCTTAAATCAGTTCTGCACAAGTTCTGCAAAGATGTGGTGTCAAGAAAGGAAGTTGCCGTTTGTTCCATAAATAGCACTTAGAAAGTAACTAGCTGGGTGCTGATTAGAGGCAGGGCCGGCGTGGTGATGCACTGTGCAAGGCACCCACCCACCCTGACCAAGCTGCTTTCTAACAAAATGCTGGTCAGAGGTGAACTTTGTACTTCTGTGTACCTGAAAAATGCCACTCCACAACACAGCAAGACCAGGCATCTTAATTAAATAATTTTACTGGAAAGAAATCACACTTTAAGCACCAGAGCAAGACGAGTATTTTCCATCAGTCTCGCAGATCACGTGACGCGAACACACTATGCATGGTGGGCTGGCCGGCCGTGACTCTGGAAGTGACCAGATCAGGCTGAATGGACTGGGGTCCCACAGTGTTTGTGCCACAGGTCGATGGCCTTGCTCACGATGGCATCCGAGCTGTCCTGGGGAATCTGCAGGAGTAAGCCCAGGTTCGTGAGAGTTCAGTGGTTACAAGGGCAGTGCAGTGTCTTCCTTCACAGACCTCATCTGCATAGTTTTCACTGTTCTGAACGCGCACAAACGGCTTGTTTCTCCTGCCACCTCAGCACACTCGTGCGGAGTTCCGGGTCACACTGCCCATGTTCAGTCCTGCACTGCCTGCTAACTCTGCACCCCTGGGCAGGTGACCTTATGTGACCTGGAGGTCAGCGGCCCAGGATAAAGCAGGAGAAATGACTGACTTCACAGTACTGTTTCTGAGATGACATGAGACAGCCAAGGAAAAGCACTGAGCACAGGCCCTGGCCCTGGGAGCCACCAATGCTGACAGTAATGCTAATGCATGCATTCAGTGCACATTCACGTGGTATTTATTATTTACCAGGCCAGTGTTCAAATAATCACAAAACAAAAGAGCAGGTCCCATGGAACCGTTCAGGCACAGGCCTCCTTACTCTGCCTCTTCCTTGGTGAAGCGTGGTGTAAGAGACAGAGCCGAGCCTGATGCACTCAGGCCTTGTTCAGCAAACATCAAGTGAACACTTCAAGCCATTAACAGACCCGATGGGGTGACACCGGAGACAGCAACAGAAATGAAAGGGTGTACAGGGAACATTCATTCTATCTTACGCAATGAATGTTGCCCAATTCTAGAATAAACAAACAATAAAACCAATTAAGATCTTAAAAAAGGGGGAGTGTAGGTGATAAAATCTCAGAATGTCAGGATTCCTTCTCTGCTAACAAACACTACAGCAGTCTCCCCTCTTCCTCTTCCTGATGGGCTTGCAGGCAGTCCCGAGGGAGAGAGGGGCTGTTCCCACCCGGGCACATTCCCGCAGCTGAATCACCCAAAGAGGGGGGCTAACTCGCATCCACAGGGCAACTTTAAGCCAAAAGTCTTCAAGGGAAAAATGCTAAGTATCATATAAAACTAGAATGTACTGTTTCTCTGAAATAATTTATTGCAACAGGAAGATCTGGCTGGCTACTCTGACTTCATTTCCAGATCTGAAACCAAATCGAATCAAGCACACTTACGTTTTCCAGAAACTGTGTTATCTTCTCTGCACTGTTCAGTGCCATTACTTTTATTTTAAACGTTAATAAAATTTCCACAGCCACAAAAACCAGGATCTTACAGGATCCACTAACAACTTTATCCCAAACCCTACAAAAATAAGAAGATAGAATCAAATTACGTTTGAAATTTGTGTTTACCTACATAGACATCTCAAATTACAAAATAAGATTACTCCTATTTTTAGTCATCCCTCAGTATCAAGGTGCACATCAATTAGCAAGACCCACAGATGCCCCAACCCCTTACAAAAATGTTGTAATGTAGTAATTGCTAACCCAAACACATCCTCCTAAATACCTTAAACGTCGCTAGGTTACTCATATCTAATACAGTGTAAATGCTACATAGTTACCAGTGTTTCTTATTTGTATTATTTTTTTATTATTGCATAATTTATTTTTTTATTCAAATCTGATTTGTAGCTGGCTGAATCCACAGACAAGCAGAGCTGACTGTATAAGCTTCAGAGAAAAACTACTGTAAAATAAGAACCAGAACCAACCAAGGGAGAGCATGTGGCCTAGTGATTAAGATCTAGCTGAAACTCCTGTTTCCCACATCAGAGTTCCTGGGTTTGAGTCCCAGCCCTGGGTTGAACTCCTGTTAATGCAGACCCTGGGAGGCAGCAGTGATGGCTACAGTAGTTGGGTTCCTGCCACCCGTGGGGGAGACCTGCACTAAGTTCCTAGCTCCTGGCTTTGGTCCTGGCCCAGTCCTGGCCATTATGGGCATTTGGGAGCTCGCTCTCTCTGCTCTGAAATAAAATAAGTATTTTTTTTAAAAATACATGAACCATTTGAAATTTATTCTGGGTATGTTCAGCGTAAGTAGGAAAAAAGAAATTCACTAAAAATTACTTCTGTGCTATAAATGACCAAATGCCTATTCCCTCATGGTGCAAACCTGGCATTTTGAGAGAAGGAAAAGCAAAGTCCTAAGCCAAAGTTGTATCTCACTGATATCCAATAATGCTAACAATTGCAGACTAAGGAGCTTATGAAAGGAGATAAATACAGTGATTCTGGGACAAAGCCCTTAGACTTCTGTAAGGGCTGAAGGAGCTAGTAATTCATCTGCAACCACTCTAAAATAATGACTCTGAGTAATGCCTGTAACTCTTAAAGTTGGTAATTATGTACGCTTAGTGACGTACTGTCTTGGAATGTTGTACATATGTTGTTCAGTTTTCAGCTGCATTATCAAGTCTTGGAGACACGGGGCCAAGATTCAGTAATACCATAAAACACACATCTGAAACTGGAGGAGCTAAGTTGGAGTCTCTTTAACTGCTTTTGGCTCCTTTAAAGATACCATGATGAAACAAAGACATACCCAGGTTTTTGCTGGACTGGGATCTATGACATTTCTGGTAAAGAGGAGCTCAGGATTATTTAAACTATTTTCGGGTGTGGCCATGTACGGCAACTAACACACAAGCTCTCCACTCTTCCAATTGTGTATTCAATCACAAGCAAAACCATGGGCTGTAACGGTGGCTGCCAGAGAAGTGAGCTCCAAATCGCTGTGGTGTTCTCCAGCAAATTCATCTGGTGAGGGGCGGCCGTGGGAAAGGCCAGGTGCTTCTCTGACTCCAGCCCTTCAAGGACTGTGGAAGCAATACTTGCCTCTGCAAACTGGACTCGGGCAAACATCCTGCAAAGCACCTGTTGAACCAGAGATCATAAGGAAGTCTGGACACTGCAGAACACGTCTTCAGGTGACCCAGCAGTCTGCTGTCTTCCAGATTCAAGTACTGTTCAAAAGCCTTTGGCTATGGATTAGACAGGAAGAGAGATCACTCATTTCCTAGGACATAACATCACCTGCTATTACAACCTATCATGGGAAAAGTTTATATACTGAATCTGAGGTGGTATTAGAAAACAAAACTTCAGAATCTTCCAAGTCATTTGTGACACAACAGTTTCCTAGGTCAGCACTGACCAGAGTGACCAACCCTCTGGGCCTGAGGGATTCGCAAGACACAGGACTCTTCAGAGCTACAGCTGGACAGCCCCAGGCAATGAGAAGCTCGGTCACTCTGACACTAACCATGCTAGCCAGATTCTACTTTTCAACAAAAGTCCAAAACAAAATTCAGTTGTCCTGTGGAGACAAGAAGGGTCTAGAGTGGTAGATTCTTTAGATAGTATAAAAGGGGAAAGAGGAGGACAAAACCAAAGAAATGGAGTGGGGCTTGGGGGGTGGTCAAGATAAGACAGTGGCGACTGTCCAGTCTCTGGCCACACGTATGCTGCCCTGTACTGAGCACCACTGCATCCAGTGCCGACCTCAGACGTCTCAAGAATGAGCTCCACACCTAACATAAATGTGCATGAGAATCTGCTGGAAAACTGAACGTGCCCTGAATACTTAATTTAATGTTTTGTTTTTGGTACTCAACAAATTATATACACTTTCTCAGATTATTAAACAACTTTAAAGGGTTAATATCCCTAAATAGAGCTGCTAGAAAATACAGAAGAAAAAAATCCAAGAACTCTGTAGCAAAAAAGAAACAACACACATAGCTGTTATCCATATGAAATAAAGCTCAATCTTGCTTACAATAAAATAAATGCAACCTAAAACTACACTGAAATATCATTTACCTATGAAAGTGGCAGGAATCTAAAAACCTAAAAACTTATGCTAGCAAGAATGCAGGCAAACAAGTTGTAGAGAAATGCTCTGTTGGTTCTGAGAACACAGGAGGATGCTCTACAAAGGAGACTCTGGGAATACCTAGCAAATAACACATGCATGTTCCACCTGATCCAGCCAATCTAATCCAGGGAATCTATTCCAGAAGTACACTGGCAAACATGAAAAAACACATGCAAAAAGCTGTTCATCTGCAACACTTTGTAATAGTGAAAAAACTGGAAATACCTCACCTGGCCAACAATAGAGGACAGGCTGAACAAAACTGGGTGTATATACACAAGAGAACTTCAGACAGTTCATGGGAAATGCCCATTTTGAAGAACTATGCATGGATTTCAAAACTGTTTGCACCAAAATAACTAAACCATTCATTCCATTTTTCCACTAACTTTTAAAATTCCCCTTTTACACACACACACACATACACACACTATGTGGAGTAGTATGCAGCTATGAAAAGCAATAAAAAGTATCTACACACTACAGTGTTTTGATCTCCAGCATATATCAAATAAAAACAGAGTGGATAGAAATGAGTATTGTACATTAGTGCCTGATCTAAGAATGTGATGCAGCTAGGTTTTTAAATGGGAAAAGATCATATTTATATTGTCTGGTGTTATACTAAGCAAATGACAGATGTTATTTATTTTAGGCACCATTACACATTTTACTGCTAAACATTTGGGTTATTTACAATATGTTAATGACCCCAGTTCTTACTTTATAAAGAAAATATACATCATTAACAGCAGGCCAAATCTGACAAAAATGGGACTTTGCTACCCTAAGAGGAATTTATATTAAATATAGGAAAAGTCTGGTTGCTAATAGTGCCTGTTTAAAAAACTCTCTCTCTCTCTCTCTCTCTCTCACACACACACACACACACACACACCCTCTCTTTAGGATAGATTTTAAAAATTTTTTCCAATAACAGAAAGCTCTCTAATGACTAAACACACTTAAGTTTTGGATAGTTTAAGAGAAATGTGGGCCCACAACTGAAGCTGCAACAGAAGCATTCTTGGCAACAGAACCTTGTCAGGGACAATTGTGAAACCCTTGCAAGGAGAGACGTTCCAACACAATGGTGGGAAGCAGAATGTCCCAGCACAAGGAGGGCACCATCACTCAGAGGCACTCTTTCCTTCTGATTAGGGGCCGGTGTTGTGGTGCAGCGGGTTAAGTCGTGCTTGTGATTCCAGCATCCCAGCACCAGTTAAGTCCTGGCTGCTTCACTTCTGACCCAGCTTCCTGCTAATGTGCCCGAGAAGGTAGAAGACGGCCAAGTGCTTAGACCCCTGCCATCCACATGGGAGACCTGGATGGAGTTCCAGGCTCTTGGTTTTGGCCTGGCCCAGCCCTGGTCATTGTGGCTGCTTGGGGAATAACCAACAGATGGAAGCTCTCTTTTTGCTCCCTCTCTCTGTCTTTTGATAGGTAAATAAATAAATATTTATTTTAAAAAATCTATCTCTGGGGCTTGCGTTATGGTACGGCAGGTTAAGCAACCACTTGCCATGCCAACATCCCGTAGCAGCACTGGTTCAAGTCTCAGCTGCTCTACTTCAAGGCCAGCTCCTTGCTAATGCACCTGGGAAGGCAGCAGAAGATGGCCCAAGTACTTGGGTTTCTGCCACCCACATGAGAGATCTGGATGGATTTCCTGGCTCCTGGCTTTGGAATGGCCCAGCACCAGCTGTTATAGGCATTTGGGGGGTGAACCAGCAGATAAAAGATTCATTTTCTCACTCCCTCTCTCTTTCTTTCAAATAACAAATCCAAAAAAGAAAAGTCTATCACTATCTATCACACACATATTCCCCTAGAACTATAAAGCAACCTATACTTTGTGATAAAAACCTTATCTGGTCAAACTATAGAAATATGGCAAGCTAACAAGCGAGATTACAGACGCTCCACTTGAACAACAAGCTAAAAAGAAGAGATTATACAACAGTAAAAAAAATTTTAAATAGACTAACATGGCTTATAGAGAAAAATTTAAGCAAATTACCAGATGCCTAAATCCAAGAGCAGCACAAATGGAATTCAGCTTTTCCCATCCATTCTGCACTGTTTTGAAAATGTTATGCAATTTGAAACTATGATCTAGGTACTATAAAGTACATATTAAAATATACTATTTTTAAAGATGAAGAAATGAATGTTTAAGGGACATAAAGCATCTTGCTGACTGTCAAAATCATTTCTAAAAAGAAAAGTTCCAGAATAGCCAAGATATTTTTTGAATGTTTAATCTACCTGAAAAGCAGAGAAAGAGATCTTCTAACTGCTGGTTCACTCCTCAACTGCTGATAACAGCCATGGACAGGTTGAAACTAGGAGCCAGGAACTCCATCTGGGTCTCCCACCTGAGTGGCAGGGGGCTCAAGTAATTGAGCCATCATCTACTGCCTTCCCAGGCATATTAAAAGGGAGCTGGATGGGAAGTAAAGCAGTGGGGACTCAACCCACGCTGTGATACTGGATGCCAGCATCCTAAGTAGCTGTTTGATGCACAGTGCCACAACGGTGGCCCCTAGCCAAGATACTTTTAAAGAACTCTAAGGGATATCCTGCCTCCCAGCTATCAAAATATACTAGAAACTGTTATTAAATTGTGTGGTATCGGCTCAGGGATAGACACATAGCTTAGTGAAAAGAGTGCCATAAGGGATACAGACATGGTCACATGTCACATAGTGTTTCAGTTAACAGTGCACTGCATGTGTGACCCCTACAACTACATTGCCTAGGAATGTCCTGGCTGTCCTAGTTTGTATATATGTACTCTAGCATGTTCACATGACAAAAATTTCTCAGAACGTATCCCTGTTGTTAAGTGATTCATGGCTGTATGGATAGAAAACCAGTGCATGATAAAGGTAGCATTTCATATGTGCAGGATGAAAAGAATCAACAAATGAGTGGTGTTGAGTTGCTCACTGTGTGGCCTGGGGCAGGTTACTCCCCGTAAAAACAGGGAATACGCCTAAATGAAGCAGCTCGTTACCAAGGCCAGACTAGCTTTGCCTGCCAAGAAGCAGGTTCTCAGTAACAGGCTCACCAGAGGGGGAGAAAGAAGGGGCGCTGGCAGGAGCTGTGGGGTGGCAGGACATGAGGAGGAGTAAAATCCACCTATATCTGACAGTGATGGCAAAGACAAGGCCCTGATATGCTACAGAGCTACATTTAAAATGTGTAAACAGTTTGAAAAGTAGGGTGAAACATTCTTTTGTCTTCAGGTTGGAAAGGGCTCATTAACTAAAATACAAAAAAAGAAGCTAAAGGGAAATGTTGACAAATCCCGTGATAACAAACCTTAAAATCTTTGTGCAAGAGAGGGAGACAGTATGGTCGACACATACAGCAGAGAAGGGATAAGTAAGTGCCCAAGGTATACAGAAAACTTTCACAAACAAAAAACAAAATAACAGAATTATGGAAAATGATTGATTTAACTAGAAACTGCAGCTATGGAAATTAAAAGGAGATACCATGTTCATTATGGACAAAAATTCAAGAGATTGATACCATCAAGTACTGGCAATGGGGTGGAAAACAAACAAAAAATCATAATCTCTTGGGAGCAGCATGAACTGATATGGCCTGTGTACAGACAACCTGGCAGTTAAGAATTCAAGTATGTCAAAAATAAACAGATTTCAAACGTGTCTCCCCTACATTCAAGCATTGCCTTACAGGCACCTTACAGGAAATGTGTTCCAGGGAGTGGCAACTCTCCCAGAGGTCTGCTCATTTTAATTAAGGCAAACTCAGAACAGGAAATACTAGGAATACTTTTTTTTTAAGAAGTGGTTCTAAATGAGTGGCTGTCAACCCAAGCTATGCTTCAGAATTGCCTGGAGCTTTTAAAAACTTCCAATTCTGGCCCCCCGACCGCCCCCCCCAGTCTGGTCTGGGTGGAGGAAGAAACATGATGGTCATCTCTGAAACCTCCCAAGTGGCTAATGGAAGTCAGGACTACAATCTGCTGACTTATCTGTCCCGCTCTGGGAAGTTTTCCAAGTCATTAGGTTTAAAACAACAAAACGTAAGGTCATATGTCAAGTATGATACCATTTGTGGTTTTTTTTTTTTTAATTATACATACATGATGTGAAAGTGTCTAGAAACACACAAAGCTGGTGACAATATTTACTTCTCAGAGGGGCCAAGTCCGATCCAAGGAGACCCCCTACATTCATCTGACTGATTCACTTCTTTGGAGAATACATTTGTCCACTACTTAAATTACCCAAAATAAAGAATGCATTTTTTAAGCATGGCATAAACTGTGAAAATAGGACTTACTCCAGCATTAATGAAGAAGTACTAATTAAATCACAGCATAATTGAGATCTCCTGATTTAGTTAGGCAAGTAACATCACATTTACTTATGCTCCACTTCCATGCTGAAGTTATTTTTATTGAAATCAACTAAGTGGATCAAATTTCAAAATCTTAAAAGCCAAGTTTTACTTTTTGTGAGCTACATAAAAACTGCTCTCGTGGGTGCTCTGCTAAGCCCGAGGGGCCTGCCCACTGCTCTAGGAGTAGCTGACACAGTCAGGACAGTGACCCCCAGTGCTCACCTGCCCTGTGGCTGCCCTCATCCCACCTCCACGCAAGTACCACTCGCAGCAGTGTTCCCATGAAACAACTCCATGACTTAAGAAAAAGGACAGGCTCGTTTGTATTAATGATATTACTAAGAGGCAAGAATGCTGAGGAAAGAGAATGGCAAGAAGACTGCCTTCTGCCTTGAAGCAAGCACCATTCAATGACCTGGGTTCTCACGGCAGGGCGTGGAGAACCAGCAGCTGCCAGACTCGCATCCACGCCCCTCCTTCCCAAATGGAATTCCTGCCTTGATGGGAGATCACAATGTGCCAGGTGTCACAGTCCTGACCACTAAGACATGTGCAGAAGGACAGCTTGCTGCTGGTGACAGACTTGATGGGCCTGGCCCTCTTACTCCTTCCACACTCAGGTTTGCACTTCTCTTCCATTCTGCCCAGGACACAAATGGCATGGCTGTTGCTCCAGCAGCCACCTGATGAGCATGAGAGGAAGGATCATACCTCAGAATGCTGGGCAACAAATGGGAGTCGGGCCTGGGCCATACCATGGTGCTGTCTCCCCAGTTCTAGACTTTCTTACCGTGGGACTTCTGACAGCAAACAAAGAAGCTTCTGTGCTAATATCAAGGGATCATTCTAGATAAAAGTCAGTGGATTCTAGACAAGGATGAGAAATATTGTAGGGCTGGGTTTGGAAAACTTCAGCCTGCACCAGGGCCAATCCAGCCATGAAACCATGACCATTCCTTTATGCATTGTCTTTGGTTGCTTTTGTGTCCATCAGTCAAGTCAAGTGGTTGCCAAGGAGACCATCTGGCCTACCAAGCTGGAAGTAATTACTGTGTGGCCTCTTAGAGAAAACATGTGCCCTACTATAGAGGTTCCATTCACGGTTGTGGTCCTGGAAACCTGCAGGGCCATAACCCACCCTGAAACAGCCACAAGCAAACCACCTCTCACCAACTGGGGCAAAGCATCCCGGTGCTTGTTCTTCAGTTGGTTCACAAAGCATCGGATGATCCAGTAACAGTCAACAGTGTCTTCCACCATCTCTTCCATGGCTTTAGCAATAGCAAGAAACACTTCGTCTTCCGGCTCCTGAAAGATCCATAAAAAATCTTAAGAGACATGCAGCAGAAGACCCAAATACACATTTCTCTAATAAAAAATTAAACCTACCCTCTAAATTTTAAAGAAGTGGAACTAAAAAAATGGGATCAAAACACAAAGCCCATCACCAAAGAGCAAGGGAGAGAAATCGATCCGAATCAGTGCGCGTGTGAACCGTGAGGTCTTGGGCTGTGTATGCAGAGCTTCTCCAACTGCTGACACTGGCCAATCACACGGTCGGTCTGCATAAACCCTCAAAAAGGTAGTGACTCTCCACCCCAAGACAGTCTCCGTGGCCTTGCAGAGCACAAGCAGTAACTACAGACACCTGCCGGTACAGTGATTTACAAATATTGAAGGACTCCAAAAGGAATAATAAAACATTTCAAAGCACTCACACGTACTTTTAGGATTTTGTTCTGTCTTGAAGCAGTTAAGAGATTTTTTGAATGGTATTCTACCTTTAAGCAAACAGATTTTGTTCTATCTTTAAAAAATTAAAATGGACCTAGAATCAGGATTTTAGAAATCAGAAGTATGACATTTCTCAAGCCTCAAATCAATACAGTGTAAACCTCAAGTAAATTTCAACAGAGAAATCGTAAAAGACTGGACTTTATTTGAAAAAATATTTTCAAATACAGAAAATCTCTTTTCAAACATCATATTATATACAAAAAGCTTTCTGTTTTCACCCAGGTTTTAACAGCTGAAGGATTTTAAGGATGAAAAGAAACTAAGAAGAATCTTTCGATTCCCCTAAAAAGTCCCAAGTTAAATCAAAATTCCTATTTTAATAAAGCATTTACTTCCTAGGCCATCTTTCAACTTGATAATATTCTGTGAAAGGTCAAGAATAACAGAGTTAGAATTAGAGGAAGTAAATCTCCCTGAGCATCTTAGTGATGAGGAAGGAAAGCAGAGCATCCCTTCCAGGACTGTGCAGGGCCTCTCTGACAGGTCAGGGGAAAGCACCAGGCCCTTCGGAGGACTCTGCCCGGCCCCGCACTGAGCACTGTCGCACCCTTAGGAAAGGCAAAGAAAATGAGGCTGATGGGGCTGGCGATGGAGGAGACGTGGGGTGGCAGAGCCAAGGACACACATCCAGGCTTCATCTGCCCTTGACTACAGAGCAGAATCTGGCTCAGGGCAGGGGTGAGGCAGAAGCCATAATCTCTCACATTAACAGAGTATCTAACATTATCTAATATGTAATGTCAGGACCTAGGAAACCCTAGGTCAGTGAAATAAGTGAAATTTAAAGGAGACTGAAGAATTCCACTTATTTTTAGGGATTTTCCCTGGGAAGACTTAAGTGGATGATTTTTACTAGCTATTCAGGGGTGCCATGTCATTAACCTGAAAAACTCAAAGCCCAATCTGCAGTAAAAATAAATTTGCGGGGAAGGCACATGGCACGGTGGTCGAGTCACTGCATGGAACACGCACATCCTGTCTGAGAGTGCCTGCCTGCTTTGAGTCCAGGCTCCTCTGCTTCCAGGCTGGCATCCTGCTGTGCACCCCAGGAAGCAGCAGAGGATGGCTCAAGTACTCAGGGCCCCAGTCACCACGCAGGAGACTTGGACTGAGTTCTGGGTCCCTGGCTTTGGCCTGGCCCAGTCCGAGATGTTGTAAATCTTTTGAGAGTAAACCAGTAGACAGGAAATCTCTTTTCCCTCTGTCTCTCTGCCTTTCATATTTTAAAAAGAGAAAAGCAGCATAGGGCCTGCTGGGATGAAGCTGGGGAGGGACATAAGACCCAAAAGGAGGCAGAAGCTGAGGCAAGGTCAAGGCTAGGAAGGTACTGAAACGGGCAGCAGCCAGGGACTAGTCCTAAAGGGTCAGGGACAAAGGGCCCCGAAGGCCTAAGGCTAGGACCACAGGTGGCTGGGAGTGCTGGGTACTCTGAGAGGAATAAGCAGAGAAGTAACTATGAGGAGGAGAGTGGGAGCCTCTTCACATTGCAGCTGTCAGAGAGGGAGCTGCAAATCTGGAAAACTGAAGGCTGGAATCATGGGAATGGGATGCATCCGTGTGAGCCCAGGACTCTCAGTGTATAGAGACAAATACATAAATGTATACAAATGTATATGAATATGGTGTGAGTATGGATCTATATACATAGGGCGGGACTTCAAAACGTTCATGGACGGCCAGCATCGCAGCTCACTAGGCTAATCCTCCACCTTGCGGTGCCGGCACACCGGGTTCTAGTCCCGGTCGGGGTGCTGGATTCTGTCCCGGTTGCTCCTCTTCCAGTCCAGCTCTCTGCTGTGGCCCTGGAAGGCAGTGGAGGATGGCCCAAGTGCTTGGGCCCTGCACCCCATGGGAGACCAGGAGGAAGCACCTGGCTCCTGGCTTGTAGCGGCCATTTGGGGAGTGAACCAGCGGAAGGAAGACCTTTCTCTTTCTCTCTCTCTCTCTCTCTCACTCTCACTCCCTCACTGTCTAACTCTGCCTATCAAAAAAAAAAAAAAAAAAAGTTCACGGAAAAATGGAATGAAAAGGTAAGTTTATTCTAGTACCAAAAATTATAAAACCCATGCATAGTTTCTTCATAGTATGCATTTTCCATGAGCTTTTTTTGTAAAGGTTGGTTTATTTATTTGAAAGGCAGAGTGACAGTAAAGAGAGAGAGGAATAGATCTTCCATCTGCTTGTTCACTCCCCAGATGGCTGCAGCAGTCAGGGCTGGGCTAGCTCAAGAACTACATCCTGGTCTCCCACATAGGTGGCAGCATCTTTTGCTGCTTTCTCAGCCACATTAACAGGGAGCTGGATCAGAAGTGGAGCAGGGGCCAGCACTATGGCATAGCAGGTAAAGCTGCTGCCTGCAGTGCAGGCCTCCCATATGGGCACCAGTTCAAGTCCTGGCTGCTCCACTTCCAATCCAGCTCTCTGTTATGGCCTTGGGCCCCTGCACCCACGTGGGAGACACCGAAGAAGCTCCTGGCTCCTGACTTTGGATAGGCATAGTTCTGGCTGTTGTGGCCATCTGGGGAGTGAACCAGCAGATGGAAGACCTCTCCCCCCACTCTGCCTCAGCCTCTCTATAACTCTGCTTTTCAAATAAAATAAATAAATATTAAAAAAAAAGAAGTGGAACAGCTGGGTCTCAAACCAGTACTCCAATATGGAATGCCAAAGTGACAGTAATGGCTCAACTCACTGTGCCATAGTATAAGTTCCTTCAGTGAGCTATTTGAAGACCCTGTGTATGCATGGATTTCAAAACTTTTTGTACCAAAGAAACTTTTTTAAAAAAATCTTATTTATGTGAAAGGCAAAGAGACAGAGACAGATGTTCCATCTGCTGGTTCACTCCCCAGGTGATCACAACAGCCAGGGCTGAGCCAGGCCAAACCCAGGAGCCAGGTGCTTCATCCAGGTCTCCCTAATGGGTGACAGGAGCGCAAACACTTGGGCCATCCTCCACTGCTTTTCCCAGGTCATTAGTGGGGACCCGGATTGCAAGTGGAGCAGCCGGACACAAACTGATGCCCATGCAGGATGCCAGCATTGCAGGTGGCGGCTTTACCCACTACATCACAAATGCTAGTCCTAAGAAACTTATCTTTTATAACATTTCCACAAACGTTTTGAAGCATACTCCTATACTGCCCAGCTCCACTGCAAGGGCCCGGAAGCAACGACTGCCCAGCAGCAGCGAGCACATCTCGTGCCCTGTTCTTGGCTCTTGAGTACCACACTCCATTCCGACAAGAAATGGCTGACCCCAGGGCTGCACGAGAGAAAGCACAAGATGAGTCTGTAGTACCAGAGCATCAAGAAACACTCAAAATGATGTAAACTTGTCAAAAAAGAGACAACCATCAGTCCAAAGGGACCCCAAAGAGCCAAATCCGGGACACACTGAACACTAAGGAGAATGGCAGTAATGGACTGTAGGCCACTGAATAAGAAAGGAATCCTACATTCATACTGCTAGAAACAAACAAACAAATGGAGAAGGGAAACCTCTTTACAGAAGAACACCAAGTAATACAGGCAAGAGCTGGAAAATCACCATTTGGCAACAAGTAGAGTACAAATAGTTTCAGGCAAGAATCGTTAGTGGATGGATATTTATGCAGTCTCAAAGTACCTCCCTACAAGTTACTTATTAATTACAGGGGAGGAGGGGGTGAGTAGGCTTACAGTGGAGAAACCTGGCAAACACCACCTTAACCAAGAGATCAAAGCTAGTGGCAATAGTAATAGCATGGTCCTGAAGGATTCTTGCCAATAATGCATAACCAGATTCCAATCACAAGGAATAACCTGACAAACCCAAACTGAGCAGCGCTCCACTGACCAGCACTTTTCAAAAGTCATGGAAGTTAGAGGAAGAGGGAGGAACTATGCCTGATTACAGGAGACTAAGACATGGCAACTAAGTGTAATGTGTGATCCAGAAATCAGATCCTGGATCCCAACCAGGGCATCCCTGGGACAATTAGCAAAATTTCAGTAATGTCTATAGATTAGTCTCACACACTGTATCAATGCTCATTTTCTGGTTGTGATCATTTTTGTGCATGTAATATATAACATCAGAGGATGCACGGTACACAGGGACACTGTACTACTGCCTTTGCAACTTTTCTCTGTTTCCAAAATTTTTAAATAAAAAATTTAATTTTTTAAAAATCATCAGTGAACGGTAAAACTCATGAGTGCAAGTTTAATAGGGAATAAAACGTTTACATGGTGGTTTTAAAGTACCTCCCCACAAAGGGAAATAGATATTACAAAGGGGAAAATGCAACTTTCCAGTGGAAAGTCCCAGTGGGCACCTCTTGACCAAGTGCCTCTCGTGGGACAGCTCCACACCATGCACCTGCTGGGGAGACACACTGAGGAGGAGGCGGCAGCATCTGGGAGATGGCCCAGCCCAAAGTGAATAATGAGGAGGAAGCACCAGACAAGCACACTGAGGGCCTTTCTACAGATAACTGACCTGCACTCCTCAAAAATGACAAGGGAGTTGTTCCAGATCAAAGGAGATTAGAGCAGTGGGAGGCAGTGTAACTTACAATCCAAGAATCATCAAGCAGAAATTCCACTGTTGGTTTCTTTGTGATAAAGAGCATCACTGGGCCCACTGGTCAAATCTGCATGGGTCCCTAGACTCAATACTGTCTCAGTGTTAACCTCTTGGTTTTGATGACTGTATCATGGCTGTCTACAAGACTGTCCTTGTCTTTAGGAAGTAGGTACTAAAAGAGACTGAGGGAAAGGGCCATCACCTCTGCACCTCACTCTCAAATGGTTTAGAGAAATAATTATCTGTACATACACAGGAAAAGTGACAAAGCCACTGTCATAAAATGTTAAGCAGTGAGGACTCTGGGCCCGCATTCTTGCCGGCTTTTCACAGTTTGAAATTACAGTCACATACCACTGCATAACAATGTTTCAGTCAGTGAAAGACCATGTAGATGATGGTGGTCCAAGAGGAGTCAATTGCCTTGTGATGCCTTAGCTGGATTAGTTTCAATAAGCATGGTCTATGATGTGGGTTTTTTTTATTTTTTAAAGATTTATTTATTTTATTTGATAGACAGAGAGAGAGAATGTCTTCCATCCACTGGCTCACTCCCCAGAGGGCTGCAATGGCTGGAGCTGCACTGATCTGAATCTAGGAGCTTCTTCCGGGTCACCCACATGGGCGCAGGAGCCCAAGGACTTGGCCATCCTCCACTTCCCTCCCAGGCCACAGCAGCAGAGAGTGGGATCGAAGTGGAGCAGCTGAGACTCGAACTGGTGACGGTATGGGATGCTGGCACTGCAGGCGGCAGCTTTTACCCACTAGGCCACAGTGCTGGCCCCTTTGAAGTTTTTTTTTTTTTTCCAAGATTTATTTATTTATTTGAAAGTCAGAGTTACATAGAGAGAGGAGAGGCAGAGAGAGAGGACTTCCATCCGCTGGTTCACTCCCTAGATGGCCACAATGGCCAGAGCTGTGCTGATCCGAAGCCAGGAGCCAGGAGCTTCTTCTGGGTCTTCCACATGGGTGCAGGGGCCCAAGGATTTGAGCCATCTTCTGCTGCTTTCCCAGGCCATAGCAGAGAGCTGGATAGGAAGTGGAGCGACCAGGTGAACCAGCTGGATGGACATCCTGGATTCTCAGCACTCCCAGGCCAGAGTATTAACTTGCTGCTTCAAATAAATAAATAAATGTGTTAATAAAAAATATGTATGGGGGCCGGCGCTGTGGCGTAGCAGGTAAAGCCGCAGCCTGCAGTATCAGCATCCCATATGGCCACAGGTTCTAATCCCGGCTGCTCCACTCCTGATCCAGCTCCCTGCTATGGCCTGGGAAAGCAGCAGAAGATGGTCCAAGTCCTTGGCCCCTGATCCCACGTGGGAGACCTGGAAGAAGCTCCTGGCTCCTGGCTTCGGATCAGCACAGCTCCAGCCATTGCGGCCATCTGGGGAGTAAACCAGCGGATGGAAGACCTGCCTTTCTCTCTCTCTGCCTCTGCCTCTCTGTAACTTTGCCTTTCAAATAAATATTTTTTAAAAAGACGTGTATATTATATATGTATTTAATTTGAAAGGTGGCGAGAGAGAGCAAGAGAGTGCACTCCTGTCTACTGTTCTACTCCTCAGATACTGGCAACAACTGAGGCTGGTCCATGCCAAAGATAGGAAACAGGCACCCAGGCTGGGTCTCCCAAATACTTGTGCCATCACCTGCTGCCTTCCAAGATGCACATTATTTTATTTATTTATTTATTTTTTGACAGGCAGAGTTAGTGAGAGAGAGAGAGACAGAGAGAAAGGTCTTCCTTTCTGTTGGTTCACCCCCCAAATGGCCGCTATGGCCAGCGTGCTACGCCAATCCAAAACCAGGAGCCAGGTGCTCCCTTCTGGTCTCCCATGCGGGTGCAGGGCCCAAGCATTTGGGCCTTCCTCCACTGCCTTCCCAGGCCATAGCAGAGAGCTGGACTGGAAGAGGAGCAGCTGGAACTAGAACCTGGCGCCCCAACTGGGACTGGAACCCAGGAAAGAAACACATTAGCATTTAGTGGGAATCAAAAGCAGAGCTAGCACTTGACCCCAGGCACTCCAATATGGGCTGTAGGCATCTAAGCAGGGTCTTAACTGCTAGGCCAGACACCCACTCCTGTGTGATGTTTGCACAAGGACAAAAGTGCCCAACAATGCATTTCTCAGAATGTACTCCCATGTTAAGCAGTACATCACTATATTTCAAAATAAAACACTTTTGAAAAACAAAGCAGGGGCTGGGTCTGTGGTACAGTGGAGTAAGCCAGGGTCTGCAATGCACAGCACCCAATACAGGTGCTGGTTCTTGTCTTAGCTGTTCTGCTTCCAATGCAGCTCCCTGCTAATGTGCCTGGGAAAGCAGGAGAGATGGTCTGAATACTTGGGCCTCTGTCATCTACATGGGAGACCCAGTTGAAGTTCCTGGCCCATCGGGGGAGTGAACCAGTGGATGGGAGATCTTTCTGTGTCTCACCTTCTCTCTCTCTATAACTCTGCCTTTCAAATAAATAATCTTGAAAATATAAAGCAGGTCGTTCAGGGCTATCAATGTCAGGTAAAGATATATTATTTTTATCCTAGTGATAAGAATCACCAAAAGTTTCAATTCAAAACAGGAAGCAGTCAAAAACTGCAAAGATGAAACGGTCAAGAACTGAGCGACCAACCAGCAGAAAAGAGGGGCTCCGAGGCAGCTTCCCAGACTCCAGCTGATACATGCGGAGATAGACCTCAGCCTGGGGTGTGGCATCACTGACAAAGCGAATGACCTTCAAGGCGTGAAGGACGTCAGAGTACTGTTCCTTGCGATACATCATCACCTGGGCGTGGGACTCATGGTGTGGAGGCAGGATCCCTACACAGAGACACAGAGAAAAAGAGAAGAGTACTGGGACTCCAATCCAAATCCTTCCTCTGATAAAGAGAACCCTATGAAAAGCAGCCTGTCACAGTTAGACCAGAATTCACACAAATCTTTATTACTACAGAGATTCTGTTTTAGGGAGCTCTCAATACATGGGCTGCCACTGTGTTGCATCAGGTTAAGCCGCCACCTGTGACACCGGCATCCCACGTCAGAGCGCTAATTTGAATCCTGGCTGCTCCACTTCTGATCCAGCTCCCTGCTAATATGCCTGGGAAAGCAGAGGAAGATGGTACAAGTGCCTGAACCCCTGCCACCCAAGTGGGAGACCAGGATGGAGTTCCAGCAAAAACTTATCTTTTTTATGGCATGAAGAAGACATGGCAGAAAGACCACTTGGCAGGCCTTTGGTAAGCCTGGGCTCTAATCTCAGAACTTATAATACCAGGACTCTCACAAGCATATTTTGGTCTCTGGGCATTTGTATCCTCATTCATTAGGAGCAAGAAGTAGGGAAAACAAGCATTTCATCATTTCATCAGATTTTCTCTGCATAATGCTGGCTCTAAGAATCTTCATGATAAATGGTAGCAGGACCGACGCTGTGGCATAGTAGGCTAAGCCTCCACCTGCAGTGCCAGCATCCCACATGGGCACCAGTTTGTGTCCTAGCTGCTCCTCCTCCCATCCAGCTGTCTGCTATGGCCTAGGAAAGCCATAGACGATGGCCCAGGCCCCTGCACATCCATGGGAGACCTGGAGGAAGCTCCTGGCTTCAGACTGGTCCAGCTGTGTCCACTGCAGCCACTTGGGGAGTGAACCAATGGATGGAGGGCATTTCTCTCTGTCTCTCCCTCTCTCTGTAACTGTACCTCTCAAGTAAATAAAATCTTAAATGGTAGCATGGTTAAATAGATTTGGAAAATGATGACAATGCATTTTCAAGGTTTAAGGCTTTGCTACAAATAAAAAACATTTTACTTTACTTATTCAAGCCTCAAGTAAACTTGAGGCTATACAGAGCCTAGACTCTGGAGTCAAATTCCAGTTCCTTATCCCAGTCCGATACTCTTCCTAAATCTTGTCTTTCTCTTCTATCATTAATAAACTTAGACTCCCAGAGTCATATTTAATGTACTGCTGTTGAACTCACCATCTTTTTATTGATTATTTTTTTCCATTTTATTTGAAAGGCAGAGACGGAGAAACTGATCTGCCATCTGCTGGTTCACTCTCCAGATGCCCACAACAGCCAGGGACGGGCAGGGCCAAAGCCAGGAGCCTGGAACTCAATCTGGTTCTGCCATGTGGGTGGCAGGGACCCAAGTACTTGAGCCATCACTGGCTGCTTCCTGGTGTCCATGAGCAGAAAGCTACACTGGAAGCAAAGGAGCCGGGACTGGAACCCAGGCACTCTGTTATTGGATGTGAGCGTCTCACACAGTGACTAATGTTGTACCCAGAGCCCACCCCTGAAGTTAGCTTCTTAAAGGCCTTTATGGTGAGCAATAACTGATTCTCTTAAGGAAGACCCAACATGCTATAAAGGGCCTATGTAATTCCTCCTGTTACTGACTGATGAGACGACAAATGATCCCATTATGCAGTAGTTTTTGAAGATAAATCTACTCGCGGGTTTCTTACCTAGAAGTACCTTCCATACCAATGCACGGTACATGGACGGCAGAGGGAACCTCTGACTGAAAGTACAAAGTTTCTCAATATCTAGAGGAGGAGGAAAAAGAAAGCTTTCACACCAAGACTGCAGTACGTAAAAGTACATTTCACTTTTTTTAAAAAAAATATTTATATGAAAGGCAGAGAGAGGGTCCTCACATCTTTTCTTCACTCCACAAACCTGCAGCACAGGGACTGGGCCAGGTCAAAGCCAGGATCCAGGATCTCTGAGTCCCCCACGAGGATGGCAGGGACCCGTGTCCTTAGCCTTCACCACTGTCTCCCAGGATGTACATTAGTAGAAAGCTGGAATTAGGAGGAATTCAAGCCCAGGCACTCGGATACGGGGTGGAGGTGTCCTAAGAGGCACCTGAACTACTCCAGACACCTGCCTCACATTTCATTTTTTAAAACTAAGAGTAGGATAAGACATTTCATCAGGGACGTCTACCATATGGTCAGCAAATTTAGGAAGGGCAATACTGGTCTGACTTCCAGCCCAGGTCTTCCATCAACAAAGTTATTTAAAATCAGTATTTACAGCATGGCAGATGCATTTTGCATATATTGCTGCATTCTCTAGGCCAGCAGCAGTCGTAGTTACTAATTACAGGATTTGTTTCATTTGGGCAGTCATTGTTCTGAAGACACGGACACTGAAGCTCAGAGCAGTCAAGTGAGCTGACTGAATTAGCATAAGCTATCAGTGACCAGTCAGCCCCCAGACCCCCACGTTTTCTGGTAAATTACACTGAACCTCCGTGGCCCTGGGTCTCTACTTATCACAGGAGAACAGTAATGCCAGACATGCTTAAAGCATGAAAAAAGCTGCCTCCTGCAACGCTGGTATCCCATATGGACGCTGGTTCGAATCCCAGCTGTTCTACTTCTAATCCAGCTCCTTGCTAATGCACCTGAGAAACAGCAGAAGGTGGCCAACGTGCTTGGACCTGTGCTGTCCAAATGGGAGAACAGGATGGAGTGCCATGCTTCCAGCTTTGGGGATTTGGTCAACGACAGCCTATTACTGCTGGCTTAAAATACACTGGAATGGCAATATACAGTGCAACCTCCGCATTTCTGTAGAAGAAAGTGATGCTGCAGATTTACCCAGAAACCCTGGTGACACATCTGGAAATTACAAAGAAAATACAAGCATTCCACAACTGAAAAAGGAAAAAAAAAAAACAAAAAAAAAAAAAAAACTGGCTTCTTAAGAGGCCTTTAAAAGTACTTCTGACTCTCCGGGGAAAATAAATTTGAAAAATGCTGTCACTAAGCAATTACAGCAAGTAACAAACATTCTGGATTTCTTTCTTTCTTTCTTTCTTTTTTTTTTTTTTTTTCTGACAGGCAGAGTGGACAGAAAGAGAGAAAGGTCTTCCTTTTCTGTTGGTTCACCCCCTCAATGGCCGCTGCGGCCGGTGCACCGTGCTGATCGGATGGCAGGAGCCAGGTGCTTCTCCTGGTCTCCCATGGGGTGCAGGGCCCAAGCACTTGGGCCATCCTCCACTGCACTTCCAGGCCACAGCAGAGAGCTGGCCTGGAAGAGGGGCAACCGGGACAGAATCCGGTGCCCCAACCGGGACTAGAACCCGGTGTGCCGGCACCGCAGGTGGAGGATTAGCCTATTGAGCCACGGCACCAGCCTCTGGATGTCTTAAACATAGTATTTTCTCTGGAGCATCTGGCGTGACTGCGAACCAGTAAGCTTGAACTTATAAAACTCACCCAGGCGGTCATCTTTCAGGAGAATCTCTAATGATTTCTTCTCTTCCACTCCACGAAATCCGACTTTCTCGTAATAAACGGAACGGAAGTTTCTCTGAGAGTCCTCAGTCATGTTTCATTCTTGGAGGGGACAGGGACGAGCCTAGGAAAAGAAGGAAGAGTTGCACACGTTTTCAGTGGTCTTCTCCACCTTCCCAGTAACCTGATTTGCTACCATAAACTGACTGCCCTTGCGAGAGACTTGATATTACATCTTCGTTTTTAACACAATTCTACTCCACCAGGCCTAAGCACCTTGGCCAAAAACCTGAGATGGAGGCTGCTAAAATAGAGGGCACAAGGTTTACTCCTCCAAGGGGAGGGCCCCAGCCTCACTCACTGGAGTGCCCAGCACAGTGGATACTCTGCAGCCATCATAAATGTGCAAAGAAAGACGTAAAATGGAAAGACAGGCAAGATGCATTCAGCACGTGAGGTTACCAAACTATAAATGTTATAAGTCAGTTTTTGTTTCTACAGTTATGCACTAAAAAAAAAATTAAGATTATATCGCAACAAGTTAACAATGGCTATCTTGAGGTAGCGGGATTCCACATGCTTTAAATTTTCTCCCTGTTTACCTTTTCTTTCCAAAATGGGCATCTTGTAAAGTGAAAAAGTGAGCTAGGTGAAAGTGGGAAGCCACACTTTTTTTTACTTTAAAACAATTCTGTCAAATGTAATGATCAAAATTCAAAACCCACAATAGACAGCATTAAATTATAACCAGGAGAGAGAAAGGAATATAGGGAATTGATGAGTTAGAGGCAGAAAAATGATTTAAAATATGATACAGAACTCAAAAACCTCTAATTGTCTCGGGTTCTTTCACAAAAATCCCAAATAATAAGTACTAAATCATCAAGAGGAGAGCAGATTAGGTTGGCATTCCCAGAACAGTAAGATGTAATGAATTTACCCCAAACAGCTGCACCACCTCACCCAAACGCTTAAAAACAAACAACCCACCCTACGCGCTCAGGTTTTAAAAATCCTGCAGCCTCCCCGTGCGCAAGGCAGAAACTGCTTATTGAAGGAATCCCCTGAACCTGTCAGCCACGGCAAATAGGATTCTCTTAAAGAAAAAAATCTAAAGGGCTTTTTCATGGGCAGACGTTTAGTTTAGTTTTTCAAAACAAAACAAAATTCTAAAGTAAACACAGAACGAGTTTGGGGGTTTATTTTTTAAAGGCATCGAGCAGCCGTAGGGCGACACGGTCCCCGTGGTGTAGACAGTCGTCCTCAGACTGCCCTTAGCAAGGGGTCCCCCTGGATGAGGCACTCAGGTTCCACCTGCTGCCCGCGAGCGTCCGTCCACCTGATGGGGCAGGAAAGCGCACCCTGCTCCGTGACCCCAGTCCCACTCTCACTACGACGTTCGCTTCACCTCTAGCAGAGCAAACACACCGGGCTGCAACTAGCAGGTCCGCGCGAGGCGGCGGACACCAGGCCCCGCGCGCCGACCCCCGCGGCCAGGTGGGCGCCGTCTGGGCAGCCCAGGGTCAGGGGGCGAGCGCGGGCAGGGAGGCGGTGCACAGGCTGCGCGCGCCGCCGCCGCCGGACGTGACGTCGGCCGCGGGGCGGGGCGAGGGCGGGCAGGCGCAAGCGCAGAGGCCGCGTAAGGAAGCTCTGCTTGTGGGGCGTGCTCCCGGGCCGGTGTGGCCACCCGCTGCTAGACCGGAGGATCCCGCGGTCACCTCGATGCCCGGCGGGGCGAGCTCGGGGTGCTCTGCTTTCCCCGGCTCCGGACTTTGTCGGCCTAGGCTGTGGATGCGGAGGCCACCGTAGCGGGGGAGCCGGCCGCCGTGCGTGGTGTCCGGGGCCTGCGGCGGCGCCCGGCCGTGGGCCAGGGGCCCGTCTGCAGGCTGGCTCGCTCTGCGGTCCGAGTTGGAAGCAGGGACGGACTGAGGACGACTGGGTTACTAATGAGGTCCTGGCGGTTCTTGCGGAAGTTCCTGCCCGTGGCAGCGGCCCGTGTGACCTCCCGGGCCCGTGAGTCAGGCTGCTGTGTGTGTACTACAGCTGTCAAGTAGAAGGCTGTAAAAATAGGGAAAGGGTGACGGTTTGTTGCTTTTTAAATAACCACTAATACAGCCCCGTTTTGCTGTCCGATTCAAGAGACAGAAGTTACTGTTTCACGTGGCTGTTGATGGGCGTTCGGCCTGGCGGCGAACTCGTGGCTGCAGACCCCATGTCCCACGTTGGGGTGCTTGGGGTTCCTGGCTCGGGCTTCCTGCAGCTGTGCGGCTCGGGGAGCAGTGGTGGTGGCTCAAGTGGCTGGGTCCCTGTCACCCATGGAGAGACCTCGATGGAGTTAGCTGCTGGCTTTGGCTTGGCCCAGTCCTGGTCACTGCACACATTAGAGGAGTGAGTGTACCAGCAGGTGGACGCTCTCTCTGTCTCTGCCTCCCTGCGTCTTAAATTTAAAAAAATAAATAAAACAAGGTTTATGAACACTTTCCCTTTCTGTGCTTAGCTCAGTGGTTCCAGGACCCTGACAGCAGCAGTGCCCTGGCAGGTTTTCAAACCATCACCATGGTTTTAAAAAAAAAAAATTCCCTAGAGAAAATACAATTTCTTAATAGGTGCTGTCTCTTTAAAGGCCCAAATCTTGGGGGCTGGTGCTGTGGTGTAACAGATACAGCCGCCACCTACAGTGCCAGCATCCCATATGGGTGCTGGTTCGAGGTCTGGCTGCTCCAGTTCCCTGCTAATGTGCCTGGAAAAGCAGTGGAAGATGGCCCAAGTGCTTGGGACCCTGCACCCCCATGGGAGACCCAGAAGAAGCTCCTGAATCCTGGCTTCAGATCAGCCCAGCTCCTGCCATTGGGAGAGGCAGGAAGAGAGACATCTTCCATTCACTGGTTCACCCCCCAAATGCGCACAACATTTGAGGCTGGACCAGGCCAAAGTCAGGAGCTAGCAACTCTGTCCAGGTCTCCCATGTGGATGGCAGGGACTCAAGTACTTGGGCCGTCTGCTGCCTTCCCAGATGTGCTAGCCAGGAGGTGGAGTGTGTGCAAAGCAGCCAGGGTTCAAACTGGCACTTTAATGTGGGATGCAGGCATCCCAAGCCGGGAAGCAGGGCTCCATCCACTGTGCCACAGTGTCTGCCCCATAATATCGCTTTTCTTTAAAATGTTAGTGGTGATGAACACTATGAGAAATGGTGACTTGATCAGCCCTTGCCCTGTTGATGAACAACTTAATACGTTATCCCTCTTAGTATTTTGTTTGTTTGTTTTGCTTAATACTTTCGGTTGAATACTGTAATCAATACACAGTTATTCTTAAGTGTTGAAACTTAACTGAAAAGTGATCGCTGTTAAATATAAGAGTGGGAATAAGAGAGGGAAGAGATGTGCAATTCGGGACATGCTCAAGCTGACTTACCCCAAACAGTAGAGTTAGAAACATACCAGGGGATTCCAATTCAATCCCATCAAGGTGGCACGTACCAGTGCCATCTCACTAGTCCAAGTGATCAATTTCTATTCACAATTGATCATAATGATAGGACTAAGAACCAAAGGGATCACATAAACAAGACTAGTGTCTGCAAATACTAGCTGATAGAATAAAAAAGGGAGAGAACGATCCAACATGGGAAGCGAGATACACAGCAGACCCGTAGAATGGCAGATGTCCTAAACAGCACTCTGGCCTCAGAATCAGCCCTTAAGGCATGCGGATCTGGCTGAAAAGCCCATGAGAGTATTTCAGGCATGGAAAGCCAAGACACTCTGGCAAAAAAAAAAAAAAAAAGAAAAAAAAACACCAAAAAAACACCAAACACCTAAATGAAAGATCTCCGTGAGTGAGATCCCAGTGGAAAGAACAGGTCATCAAAGAAGGAGGTACCTTTCTCTGAAGGCAGGAGAGAACTTCCACTTTGACTATGACCTTGTCTAAAAATGATCAGAGTCGGTGAACTCAAAAGGCTTCCATAGTCTTGGCAACTCATGACAAGAACCTAGGGTGATTACTGATGCCATAAACAAGATTGTCCATTTGTTAAGTCAACAACAGGAGTCACTGTGCACTTACTCCTCATGTAGGATCTCTGTCCTTAATGTGCTGTACATTGTGATTTAATGCTATAACTAGTACTCAAACAGTATTTTTCACTTTATGTTTCTGTGTGGGAGCAAACTGATGAAATCTTTACTTAATGTATGCTAAACTGATCTTCTGTATATAAAGAGAATCGAAAATGAATCTTGATGTGAATGGAAGGGGAGAGGGAGAGGGAAAGGGGAGGGTTGCGGGTGGAAGGGACGTTATGGGGGGGAAGCCATTGTAATCCATAAGCCGTACTTTGGAAAAGTGGTGACAGCATCATGGTTAGCTGAAAAGCTCCTTCAGCCGGGACACTGGGGAAGCGTCTCTAGGCTCTTCGCGGTGGGAAGGTAGATGTTAGCCTGTGCGGGGCAGAGACTGAGGGACAGAACTGAGAACTGTGCGTGGTTGAAGGAAGGAAGCAGCAGCGCACCTTAGAAGCAGACGTTCCCTTGCACCTTCTTAGGTGGGCCCCAGGCCTCCCCCAGGGACAGCTTAGGGCGATCTTCCCCATCCCGCAGCAGTGGGACTGTTAGGGCCAATAACACTACTTGGTTAATGTCCTGTTCCCAGCAATATGCCAGAGAAGGAGGAGGAAGGGGGAGGAGAAATGGCCCCATGTCTACACAGTCTACACAGCATGCAGACTGCACTCGGTTCTTCGCCGAGACCCCTGTCTGGCCTGTCAGGTGTGTTCTCCAGGACTTTCGCTGCCTCACTTGCTGCTCCCTGTCTTAGCCCTGAAACTCTTTTCTCATGAAGGTGGGGACCTCTGATGCAGCTGTCTCCAGGAACAGTAACATGCAGCCAGAGCCTCTCTAAGCATGGCCGTCTCAGCAGACTCCTACATGCCCTGCGAAGCTTTTTGTGACCCACCTCCTCTTAGCTCAGCCTCGTTTGCCACCGGGACCTCTCCTGCCTGGGGACGTGTTTCCCCAGGTAGCCGCACGGCCCAGTGCTTCCCTTCATTCGTGGTCATGTGTCCCCTCCCGAAGGCCTGCTCTCTCCACTCCACCTAAAAGTGCACTGCTTTTCTTGCCTTGTACACAGACCTACCTTTTCATTTTCTGACACTACATCATTTACTTGCTTTATTTACGGTGGTTGTGTCTTCGCACCGCAATGTCAGGTCCCTGAGATCCGAGATCTGTTTTGTGAGCTGACAAGTGGAGTGTTCCTGGGACACGTAAGTCCCCAACACAGATTTGCTGAAAGAATGTGGTATGCGTATGAGTAGCTTCTCCTTCTTCGTCATGTAGCTGTGCTGTGAGCTGTTAGGGGCATCATTAACTGTTGGACTCCAAGCACAGCATAGAGTATAAAGCAAAGTAGGCAATACATTTTGTGGAATTTAATTGAAATGGGATGTTGAAAGTCACAGGTGTACTTAATTTGAATAGACACGATACTGTCCCTTTGTGACTGACATCACGCATTGCTTGTTACCTTGCTGCCCTCTGGTGGTTAACTGTTTTTACTAAATTGTAGAAATGATTGTAGTCCTAGCCCTAGCATCAAATCTCAAGGTTGATAAGAACTGAAAGGTCAGCGCCTCCCAAGAAGTGTGATGCAGATAAACCTCAAAGCGCAATAATAGCAAGGTATGTTTAGACACAGCATCATGTCTTTCAACTGTTAAATTTACTTTGGTAGGATAGTAATTGTCAAATACCATGGGCTTCAACTCCCTGCTCCTCTCTTTCTAGATATAAAGAGATGGACACCCAGTCAGGTGATGGCCATAGGACACACGTCGTTGTAATTAAGGCAGGAACAGTTCCGTCACACCATGATCAGTGAACACGGAAGTTCAGATCATTCGTGGGCCACGCCGCTCCTCCAAAAGAGAGACCAAGCTGGGTGGTCTTGGAGGCCCATTTCCTCCTTCATCTGGGCTGTTTGTCTGACAGGAAACCAGCTCTGCAGGTCTGTGTTAAACAGGCAGAGCCTCCCGATCACTGTAACCACGGAAAAAGACGAGGGCGGGGGCGGGCGGGCCTCTCTGTTGAAATGTTGGTCCCAGGGCTTGTAGACCCTCTCTGTGAGATCATCTCAGGGGACTGGATGCACTCTGCTACTCTGTGTCTCCTATTATATTCCTGCATTATTTGGCACTGGTGGTATCTTCCCATGATCCCTTTCCAGCATTGTTTACCTGTCAAAACTGGGCAAACGTATTATGTAGATGTGACTACAGATTTCCAGTG